GAATTTTTATTATTTTTTTAAAATAGGAGTATCAACACTGGGGCCTAATTCCCTACTTAGCAACAATCAACGGAGCTTGGAGGCAGCTGCCGCCTTTAAGTGCCCATGCACCTTCCGGTACATCCACCTAGCCCACTTCTCACATTTACATCACCTGCCTGGCCCCACAGAGACTCAGTTTGATACCCCTGGGTGTCATTTTCCGGGCACAAGAAACCATTTCCTAAAAGCAGCTTCATGAGCGTCCCAGTTACCTTTCATGGATTCGTTTTGTTCAGTCAGGCGGATTTCAAGATCTTGCTTCTGTTTCTCCAGTTCTGAAATTTGCTGTTTAAAGTCTGGGATCATCTGCAGAGAAGAAATAGAAATATTAGAATATAAAATTCTTGCATGTATGAACTTGAAAATCCCAGAGCTACTCAGAAGCAAACTAAACCGTCTAGGTATTTAACCCCGTGGGACATGCGTCCAGTATGGTCGTGTAAGGGGGCAGCCAAGGCATTAGGCTAGACAGACGTCATGTTTTTCACCTCAAGACCTATATGGTCACAAGAAACACCAGCAGGCTCAGAGTGAGTGGTTCTTACACGGCTACCACCCTCCACATCACCGAGGGCTCCTGCAGAGAAGGAGGTGTGCTAGCTGGGCGGGCACACGGGGATTCTCTCTGAGTTGAGGGAGGGATGATGTGAGGAAATGCAGCCAGTCTCTTTGGTCCAGGCCCAGAGGCATCATCTCCTCATCTAGAAACAGGTGAATGATCTCAAAGGGGTCCCACTGTGCCCTTCGAATTCCAGGCTGTGCACGGCTCTGTTAGTGGACATCTGGAATGATCCAATGTGTTTCAAAATCTTCTGTCCTTGTCTAGCTATATCTCTCTTTAAAGGCCCATCATTTCCACCCTCAGTCAGGTAAGGAGAGCTTTTCTGTTGTCCAAGTTTATAAAAACACCTGTGCCTCTGAAGTCCAAATGAAGAATTTTTTGATTGCATAATTGGACCTCACTGCAAATTCTTCATTACAGTTTCACCCAAGGAATAAACAAAGATGTGCGGTCCTTAACTACAGTTCCACACATCCGCTGTGCCCAGGATCACATCTCACCTGCTGACACAGCCCTGAGATCTCCTACTGCTCCCAGGCTGGGCAGAGGAGGAGGAGTCGGCAAAGAAGCTGAGAAGGAGCAGCCAGTGAGGTAGGATGAGAAAACGTGGAGAGTGTGGTGACCTGGAAGCCAACAGAACAATAAGGAGGGACAGGAAGTGGTTAAGTCACCAAAAACTGCTGAGAGACTGAGACGAGGGTGAAGAGAAATCCCCTGTGCCCAGCCCTGAGCAGGCAGATGCAGTTAGTGGCGGGGACACACGGCAGAACGGGGTAGCTGTGGAGTAAGTGAGGGGGAAGAAATCACAGCTCGGTGGCCATGGAAGAGCACGGCCAAGCCCCCAGAGAGACTGAGTGGTGGCTGGAGGAGGTGTGGGGTGGAGAAAGTAACGTTTTTTGATGAGAAGTTTCCTAAGACATTTCTTCAGGCCTGTAGGTATGAGTTAGAAGAAAGGATGCAGTGGGAAAGAAAGGGCATTATGGAAGAAGGATGTTGAAACAGTGAGATGAGCAGGAGACCTGCCTTCTGAACGCACACCCCTCTCAAAAGATGCCCTTTCACCTTGATGCTTTTTGTTACTTTCCAAGGGGTTAGGGCTAGATTTTAAATACATAGGTTTAAACACACCCACATGAATTACAGAATTTGCACCCATCCTATGGTAAACACTCTCAAAATGCTTTCCAGCCTGGGATAATTTTATAATTTTATTTTCTGAACCAGTTATTTCCCTCCTGGAAAACATAATTCATTTTACAGCCGAGAAACTGAACGTTCCTTCACTAATGCGTAACATCTCCCGAATAACGGCCAGGACTGGGGCCCGGGGCAGAGACTCTACCATGTTTTCTGATGTCAGCCTGGTAACTTCATGACGAATGCTCTCATTGATGTCATTCTCTTCTCTAAATAATTTCTGCAGGTGGTTGATTTCTTGACTGAGATGCGCCACTTTGAAGTTCAAAGCTTCAATCTCCTTCTCATAGCAGTCCTTCTGGGACTGGAAATGGCTCTCCAAGACACTGTTAGAGGATGGTCAAGAAGTTAACCACGCGGCCTTTACCCTGCTGTGCTGAGGACTCTGCACGTGCACTTGTGCAGCTGTTACGAGAACCCACAATGACAGCCAGGCACTAAGCACACAAAGTTCACTTACAGACACACGGTTACAGGCTATGGAATTAGGAACACACAATTACAAAAACCTCCTAGCTAGTTAGGAAGTGTTATGTGGTGTTCATGCAGTTAATGGTGAAAAATTTTATTTTAGACATTATTAAAATTACATTTTTAATCTAATGGTTAAAATATGTTTTGTAAGATGCAACAATGATAAAGATACACGTTATTATACACTTTTCAAAACCCATAGAGTGTACAACACACAGAGTGAACTCTACTGACTTGGTGATAATGACGTGTCAATGTAAGTTCACCGATTTTAACAGACGTCCCTCTGGTGAGATGTTGGTAGTGGCTGTGCATGTGTGGGAGCAGGAGGTGTTATGTGAGACATCCCTGCACTTCCTGCTCAGTTTTGCTGTGAATCTAAAACTGCTCTATAAAATAAACGTTTATTAATGTAAAAAACGGCAGACATCTTAAATTTAAACATATCTATATATCTATAGTAACACTAGCTGACTTATTTGATATAATTAGTTTTCATTGTACAGGTTATGGGTTTTATTACTTGGCCATGTATCCCACAAAGAGATAGTTCTTCATTACTAAACTAATTATCTAATCCTTGAAGAAATATTTCCAGGGATTATTAGACCATTCTACCGTAGGAAATTTACTTTGTGTATCAAATTTACGTAACATAAAATTTTGACTTTCTGGTAGTCCACTGTTTCTGAAAAATCACAAAGAACCCTGAGGGGAATTTCTCACCGTGTTGCTTTCTTTAGTCCTTCATAAGCAAACCAAAGTTCTCCATCCTCATTTAAATGTTCCAAATCTTCCACAGAGAGCCTACAACACAAGGAGAGTAAGAAAATCATGTCTCTCATGTGTTACACGTCTCTAAGTGCTTGGTACTGCAAAAATGATTACCTGCTTCTTACGTCTTCAATGTCATAGCTCTCAAGAAGCTGCCTGGTGATCTCTGACATCTGTTCTGAGAGGAAAAGGCAGAGCTGATATAAATTACATTTTTTTGCGTGATTTCTCATTTCCCATTTCCAGTTCTCCAGCTCCACAGACTCTCTAGCTACCCATCCCATCAGCTGATTAACTCACCAGCTGACCGACCGACCGACCAATCAACCAACCAACCAACCTATCTACCAGCTATGAAGTCAACCAGCTATTCAACCTATCATATATCCACCAACCAGCTAACCAACAGCCTCAGACCAGTCAAAGGACACACTGCCTTCGCAGTGACACCTCTGATCAACACAGCCTGCACCCTCTGGACTCAGTGATTCGTGTCTTTGTTACCTCTCATTTCCCGTTTTTGGGACTGCACGTGTTTCTCCACGTCTATCTTCTGTGTCTGAAGTAGCTCTATCTCCTTTTCAAACTCAGAGATTGTCTGAATCACAGCAATGATGGAACCAGGTGAAGAAAAAACAGATACCGTGATTCACATCAGAAAAAGAAGCACTTCACTGTATTATGCACCCATACAAGGTGTTCTCACTGCAGCTGCTTAGTTAAAATCTTGTTAAACCATCACTGCCCATAAAACTTGGCCTCAAAGCATTGTTCAATTGCTCAAAATACTGTTATTCCTAGACGTACTTGGTTCTATCAGTAGAATTTGCTTTCCTACTATATAAACGAAAAAAATTTTTACTGCAAGCTTGGGGTGAGGAGGAGGAGGTGGTCATGGGGGCTAAGTTCTTTCTCAGCATATGATGAAATCGTGGAGGCGAGGAAGTGGGCAAAGTCACCACCTTTGTAATTGTGGGTCTGGCCCAGCGGCAGGGCTAGGGTGTGCCCTGGAGGTGTGGGAGTTGGCAGTGGGGGCATGACTGGGGACCACGAGGGGAAGTTCTGGCTGTGGGGAAGAGGCTGTGTGCTACCCCTATTCACCTGTAAGCTCGGTGTGAGGACCCCAGGTATGTGCTCTGTAGCTGTGGGAGCTATCCAGGGGCGAATAGCCCCTCCAGAGTGTCTTCTCAGTTGGCCTGTTTAAACGTTACAGCTCCAGTTTCCACAGGGGGTGAGAAGGGAGATCAAACTGACATTTACTGATCATTTTATATATATGACCTCATCCTTGTAACAGCCCTACAAGGTGAGTAGGATGATCTTTTACAGATGAGGACACTGAAGCTGCATAGAAGTTAAATGGCATGTTCAGCATCAAACAGAGAGCTGGCAGGGGCCCCAGGACCACCCACCCTGCTCTTTGTAGTGTTCCAAGTCACATGTGAATTCACTTCTAGGCTGATTATAACATAGATGCTGATGATAATGGGTTTGTTTTCTTTGAAAATCAGAGTAATTCCCTTAATACACCACACTGGAGAGACTGGACCATCATTTTAGCTACCAAAGAGGAAGTCAGTGGCAAATATTGGTGTCTTACTCCAAGTGCAGCCACGTGACTTCCCAAGACACAGACTATAGCCAGACGAGGTGACTCCCGCAGAGGGACATCAGTCTTACGTGACTGCTAAGAATGAAGCACTCAAAGGCATATGTGGTCCTTCCTGATTTAACGGTCCAATCTCCTACTTTTAAACAATAAGCAACCAGGGCTCAGAGAATATGGGCAGTTCTACTGAGAAATTCAGAGAGAACCCAGGTGTAATCTTAGAAGTGACACATCTTCTAAACCATGCCTGGCTAGCATGGCTATTCCGTGACAATTGCAGAGAATATTTGTGTAATCTTAACAATTATTCTATTAACATGTTTCACACATCTAGCGGATGCTTAAAAGCTACCCAAACTTACAGTGAAATGGTTGGCACTGAGGAAGAAAGGACACACAGGTCTGTGTTTTCTGATAGAGAAGGAATTCAGATAAGCCTCGATTGTCCAAGCATGGACCATTGCTTGTGTCCATTATCTGCTAACATTTTGAAGTGGAAGATTCTGACACAGTAATTTAATTTTAATACAGGTATTTGTAGATACAGAACAACATGATGGATTATGTAACAGTGGTTCATGTCAATTTATAATTTCATATGGAAGTATTCTCTAGGTCAACATATTCCAGTAACTTTTATGTAAATGGAATTTTTGTAAAGTAAGAATACTGACTTTTAAAACATGAAGAGCAGTACTCCTAAGGCAAAGGCAGTCTTGGGGCTACTCCTGAAGGAACTGAAGGAATCAGGGTCCTTCTGCCTTCACATGGGGGCGCGTTTAGCTGAGCCGGTGGGGGTGAGGACCTGCCCCGCCGCGCGCAGGTCAGACGCGCTGAGAAAGTGAGGAGCAGCCCCTACCTTCGCCTGCTGGCTCAGCCGGGCCACTTCCCCCTTCAGGCCGTCAGAGGTGACCCGCTCCTCCTCCAGCTGGTGCTGCAGTTGCATTTTCTCACCCTTGAGAGATTTAATTTCTTCTTTCAAAGACCAGATCTGCTTCTCATAGTCTTGTGTTTTCAGTTCAAAACTTTTTTCAAGAAGTCTAAGTGGCAGAAGAAGAAAATAATTTGGAACTGTCTTTGAAGTTTTTTACCCTGAATTAGAGCAGCACATCATTTTGAAAATCAGAGGAGACTCAGAAAGGAGGAGCTAGGTTAGGACCTACTGTGAGGGTCCAATAGACAATGGTCTTATTTTTAGCAGACTGCTTTCTGTTCCCTTAGGGTAAGGGAGCTTCTTATACCTTCTGCTCAGAGAAGTGCAGCCCTACAGCGAACACACACAGCAAACACAGTAGAGGGAGGCTGAACTTAGACTCAGTTGGTGGGGGAGGGTATAGCTTAGTGGTAGAGTCGTGTTTAGCATGCACGAGGTCCTGGGTTCAATCCCCAGTACCTCTATTAAAATAATTAAGCAAATAAACCTAGTTCCCCTACCCGCCCTCCCCAAAAAACAAAAACCAAACAAAAAGACTCAATGGTTTTTGGGGTGCTGTATCCCTCCAAGCCACCCTGGTTCCATAAGGTCCCCAACAGGGGTCACTTCCCTCAGCAAAGACACACATTCTGCCAAGTTCTGTCCCCTGCTCAGAGACAAGGATCCTGAAGCAGATTGGCTTAAACAAGTTCATAGAGCCATTTAATGTGTCAAAGGGTCCAACCCTAGAATAAATTGCCAAAATCCAGGTGCCCAAAAGGCCATGAAAAGCCAGTTCCTTGAGAGATGGTTGCTCAATTAAGTATGGGGTGACTGATCAAAACAATAACCAAAGAGAGACACAGAACCTAGACCAGCCCAATACAGCCCACGGGGGGCCCAGTCAGAACTGAAGCCACCTTAGGAGCTCTGTGAGGTTATTAAATCATCTTTCTACTTGCAGGGCTATCAGCTCAGTCCATTTTATGACTTGCTTTTACAGCACAAAGGGGAAAACCCTGAGGAAGAGGGTCTTATTCCCAATAGGTGCTTGTTTCATTCCTGATAGGTGTTTGTTTCATTTCTTTTTATAGGTATTAACAAACTTTTAAACTTTGTCTTCAGGTTTTAAAAAGAACAACAGTGGTCCTATGAGGCCAGGAAAATACATCTGAAGAAGCAAATTGCAACCAGAAACCTTATGTAAAGAGAATCTTAGACTTGTAGACTAAACTGCCTGGGAGCGCACCCACTGATTGCGGGATCTTTGAGGCTCTTGAGGTTTGCGATGGGACCAAGTCTTCCCCAGTCAGCCAAACAGGGACTGAGTGGAAGTTGAGTGCTGATGAGGACTGCAGAGAGCTCAAAGAGATCTGATCTCAGGCTGGCTCTCCAAGTCCCTGCTAGAAATAACCTTTCCCAAGTGGCCAAGGAACACCACGAGATGCCAATAGCTGAGCTCCTCTTCTAGAGTTAAGAGTTCACTGAAAAACAGACTTGTCAAGGTAAAGAGTTAGCTATCCCTATTTAAAAACTGATGTAGGTATGATCCAGCAACTCCACTCCTGGGTATACATCCAAAGAAAAGGAAAACACTATTTCAAAAGGATACAAGCACCCCGCACCGTATTCATAGCAGCACTATTTACAATAGCCAAGACATGGAAACAACCTAAATGTCCACTAACAGATGAATGGATAAAGATGTGGCATATATATGCAATGGAATATTACTCTGCCATTAACAAGAATGAAGTTATTCCATTCATAATAACATGGATGAAACCAGGGGAGTTTTATGCTTAGTGAAATGTCAGACAGAGAAAGACAAATACTGTGTGTTATCGCTTATATGTGGAATCTAAAAAGTAGAACATATGAATGAATATAACAAAATAGAAACAAACTCATAGAGAGAAGAAACTAGCGGTTACCAGTGGGGGGGGGCAAGATCAGACTAGGTGATTAAGAGGTACAAACTACTATGCAGAGAATAAATTAGCTACAGGGACATATTGTACAACACAGGGAGTCTAGCTAATATTTTACAACAATTAAAAATGGAGTATATGTGTAAAAATTTTGAATCACTACATTGTACACCTAAAACTAATATAATACTTTTAAGTCAACTATGTATCTAAAAAAAATTGATGTAGGATCATGAAACTCCTTATGTATCTGTTAACTCTTGGAGCTCTTCAGTGACACTCTCTCCTCTAACTTCTTGGCATCCTGCCCCAGCCCCCTAGACCCAGGCTCTCCTAACTTCACAGGAAAGTTGTATATCCTGCCACCCAGGCAGCCCTGGGCCTTTGAGCCCTTGACAGAGACGACAGAGACGTGCCAAGAATGTTCCATTTTCCCCCAACACCCTGGAGATTTAAAAACCTGTGAGTTGACTCCTGAAGAGAGGGGAGCACAGACTGGAACCTTTGGACCTTAGCAAAGGGTTTACTACTGTCACAGGAAAGGCGGGGCTGGAACAGTAAAAAGTCATGGGGACCTGTTTTAATTTTTATGGGGTGGGTTACATCCCTTACTCTCTGGGACAAGAGTCAAGTTAACAGACATAATGTGGGGTAGGGGGAAGGGAGGGAGATTTATAAAAGGCAATCATCTTCATCCTTGGACTTGATGGATGCTGAAAGAGGTAGCAGTCTCTGAACTTCTGTTTTGGCAATAAAGGGAAAGCAAGAAATTCCCAGGGGTGCACTGTGCCCACGGGTGCAGAACCTGTACAGTGTCTGAAAGGTGTACACTGGGGACTTAGCTCTCACAAAACTCAGTCGCTCACTTCTTAAAAGTATTCACACCCTGCTCTCCTATATCTGTGATCTGCAACTGCAAGCTGAGAAGCAAAACAGAAAACAGCAGAGAGAGAAGAAAGCAGCGGCTTTAACACAAACTAGATTTCATACATTCTTTGTCGCTCTTCTTTTTGAACATCATCAAAGAGCTGCTTGGTGAGGTCGTCCATTTTTTCTGTGAAAAGAGAATGCTCTTTGAAATGTGTCGGCAAAGCAACACCTTTATCACTTGATGCCACGTTTGAGAAAGTGAGACTGCAAGAATAACCATGTGACATTTATTCCTAATGGGACTTGAGAGGGCAACTGTCATTTTTTAAAAATTGCAATATAGATAAAAGAATTTCAAAATCATCGTCCTCACCCATTTGTTGTGTTGGAATCTATAGTTTCATTCATAGTTCTTTTATTGGTCTGAATACCATTTGTTTTATTAAAATAGGTATGTTGGTGTCAAGACAATAAATATTAAAAGAAAACAGAAACCCTTTGGAAAGAAAATGATCAATTATGGGGTTCTCCATGTCAGCACTACTGATGCTTCAGCCAGGTACTTCTCGCTGTGGAGAGGGGGCCGTCCTGTGCACTGTGGTATGTCCAACACCATCCCTGGCTTCTACCCTCTGGAAGCCAGTAGCACCTCTGCTCTAGTTGTGACACCAAAAATGTCTCCAGACATTGCCAAATGCCTGGAGGGGGAGAGAGAAACAAAACTGGCTTGGTGGAGAACCACTCATTCATGATAACCAAGAAGATAAAGCATCTGTCTTCATCTGGGGAAGAGGAAACATAAAAAGCCGCTGTTGCAGTTAAACACAAGAATCCAACACAAAGTGTAGGGCAAGCAGGACTTGACCACTAGGAAACAGTCACTGGGGCTCAGGACAGTCTGTGGTTAGGACAGCCCAACGTTCCCAACATGTCCACACACAACAGGTGCCCTTCAGAATGGGGGCTGAATGACAGATGCAGACAGCCCAGTGTGTGCTTAGCGTACACCTCACTCTTGAGTTCTACCTCATTTCTGAGTCCTCCCTGGAGGGGAACCCAGGGATGAGGTGACAATAGCAATCCTTCAAATTACTTGGTTAAAAAAAAAAAAGCCACCAGTTTAATAGTATGGCTAATGCAGTGTAAAATGTCCCTGAATCAAAATGATTGCTTCAGAATGTCATGAGTCGGCCAGAAAATACTAGGGAAAATGCTTAAGCTTTAATTGAGAAGCCACCATACTTGGTATAATTTCAATTTTTACTTCTTTCACAGAACTGACGGCAATTTTGGTGCTTACCATCTTGGGACATTTTCAAATGGGCTTAAGAGGCTGCTCAAATGGGACTTTCTTCCCCAAAGCAACTTTGCCCAAGTTGGAATCTCAAAAAGGGGAAACAGCATTCAATGACATCTCTTAGCCAGTCGTCACAAGGCTAAATGGAGGTTGATGCTTTCATAATACTCTGTTTGCCATGTGTAGGGAGATAACACAGGATAAGCAGTTTATAAACACTGGGTATGCAAGTTTTCAGGCACAAAATTATCCATCCAAACATGTCAAATACATAATTTTCAGGACACACTTGTAGGAATTAAAATTTTTTTCTTCTGGGAAATTCCCCTTCTAAAAGTTGGAAAAAAAACCAAAACCAAATATTCAAGAGGTATTGTAATTAAAAAAAAAAGGTGAAGGTGGGTGAGCCCTTCCCTAACTCAGGTTCAAGGTTTACTCACAGAACTCTGACCTCCTCCTGTTCATCACTGACACGTACACAGACTCCAACACCCAGGTCATCAGCCCTTAGACACAGGGAAGGGGCATGCGGCATCTGGAGCAGGAGGTCGTGCCCACCGTTGGCATCCCTGAAATGCCCTCCTGCTCTGCTGGCCGGGGCTCAGGGTGCTTACTTCCTCTTCCTGACACATGCTTCTCCTGCACTCGGACCAGAGCCCCCAGTGTTGCTCCAGATCCTGGCGTATCCAGCAATGGCTGGGCCTGAGGTGTGTGCTAGACCCTGGGTCTGAACCCTTGTACTCCTGCTGCTCCCCTACATTGGAGCTTAAAGAATGGATCCAGAACAAGATAGATAATCCAGGGTGGGATTGAACCCATCTGGTCAGGAAGCACCAGGCTCATGTCCCTGCTGCCCTTTCTGGCATTTAGCAAATGCTTGCAATTAGAATTTGAGTTGGACAAATACAGACAGGCAGAGCTAGGCCAAGCGTGGCTGCTCCACACCCCGAAGGAAGTGATACTGCAGGTCCCGAGGGTCTGCATCTGACAGCCCGGGGCCCATGTGGCTCAGGGCTAAGCAAGGCCCCCTGCTCACAGCCAGGACAGTGGCTGAGGATGTTGAGTACCATTTGGACTAAGTAACCTGGACAGAGCTGAAATTTGAGTGCAAATCCTTGGCAAGGCACAAACATGCCCCCAACAGTCCCCTGACTATGCGTCAGGATCACCACAAAGTTTACAAAAACAAACAACAACAACAACAAACCAGATGTCTGAACCACCCCGGCCACCGTCACCCACAGACACACGGGTGCACACACACAGACACCCCCTCCTTCTGATACAACAGCAGCTTACAGCCCACCCGTCTGTACTCCTGCAAACGGTCCAGGAGGTCCTGCGGCACAGACAGGGTCTGCTGAGCTCTGACAACAGATGCAAATAAACCAGCTGAATCTGCAGGACAGAATGGCCACAATTTTTAAAAAGTTATTCTCTGGAGCGGAAGTTTCCTCATGACACCAGAGATCCCCAGTCCGGCCTGGAAGGCGGTTCCCGCCCAGGACCCGGTTCGCGGATGGCCGGCCTGGTGAGCGGGGAGGCGCGTGCGCTGGGCCACCCGGGGCTTTACCTTTCATCTCTTCAGTCTTCTCCTGAAGCTTCAGCTGTATTTGCTCTTTTTGTGTTTCCAATTCTGAATTATGCTTCTGAAGCTTTGCCAATTTCTAGCAAAGGGAAGGAAAAAAACACATTTTTTTAAACTTCATTTCGAGTTTTGTCTCCATTGCTTTTCGCGGTGAAGAGCTGTGTATTTTTAAATCAGTATTTTCTGGTCTCGGCTCCTGTCCACAGGTAACAGCCGGCACCAGCCCACTGCAAATGCTGCATTTAGCTCCACATGCAAGGGCTCCATGTGATTTTAACAGACACTGGTGTCCAGCCTGGCCCAGCAACGGCTGAGATCAAGGACAAGGAATCAAATCCAAAGTCTCCTCAAAGCCAGAGAACTCCTTTGTCTTTTTCTTGGTTATAAATAGCCAGAGTATTTATATATCTAACATGATATAAGTAATTCATGACAGAAAGTGGATTCACACTTTTAGAGTGTTATGACTCAGGAGGGATGTGTGGTCATGATAGAAGCTCTCTTGGTAAAGTGCCTGCTGGGCTGAAAGCTGGGGGCCCCTGGGTGCTGACGGCCAGTAGCTGGCAGTGCGGGAGATGCCCACAGCCGTGCTGGTGCAGCCGGGCCCCTGGTCATGAGGAGGGCAGAGGGATGCCCTGAGGCTCCAGGCTGCCACAGCCCCGGGTGCTGTAGGACTTCAGAAGGTGCAGCAGAATGGAGAGTAACAAAGACCACCTACTTTGAAAATAGTTCATGCTTGTGCAGGGCTCTATGACAGTCATTTGGCTAAATTATTCCACCTCATAATTTTATCCTCACGACAACCCTGTCAGTCCCTTTTTGTTATTCTCATTTGACATATGAGAAAACCAAAATTCCAAGAGGGTAAGTGATTTGCCAAAGGTTGCCCAGCCAGATGGCAGCAAAGACGAGATTTGGACCTGGCACATCTGATTTCTACATCTACTGCTCTTTTTACTACACCACAGAGATGACAACTGCCCAAGCTTTGCACCGCTGCTCTGGGGAAGATGCTTCCAGGGCACACACCAGACGGACAAGTGACAGGGGACCCAGGCCGTGCTGGGAGAGAGAGAAGCATCTGGCCCTAGCTCCTTCTCCAGCCTTCCATCACTTCACACAAGTCGAATGGAAGAGGAAACCATATGTGTTGCTTCTTGAAGGGTTATCCTCCTCCTCCCCTAGACTCTAGGCCTCCGATCTCCCCTCCTCTAAAATGCAGGCTCCGTTTGGTAATGGAAGCCAACAGAAATATCTGATTTGTTCTGAAGAAATCTGCTTTGTGGGAAAATGCTGCGCTGTGTTCTTGCCCGTGGAAAGGCTCACAACCTATGTCCACAGTCACAGCCAGCACTGACCTCCTCCACAGAAGCCTTGTATCTCCTCCCCTTCTCCTCATAATTGTGCCTGTGGGCAGCTGCCCTGTCCAGTTCTGATTCCAGCTTCTGAATCTTCTCCACGTCACCAGCCCGAAGAGCGGCCAAGCTGGTCAGCTTCTCCACCAGCCCATGGTTCTCTTTGTTCTGGAGAAAAGAATCGTCAGATACTTGGGGGTTATCTCAAATAAAGAGGCCGTTCCACTTGCTTCACACAACTTTCATCTAAACCAGAGGTTTATTCACACTGACCATGTCCGTCATTGCAGTGGCTTGTCTGAGCATCCTCACCCCAGCGAGCACAGGGAGGCAGGGCTGGTCAGGCACATGCCTTCCTGAGCTGGTGGCTCTTTCAGTCCAGTCCTGGAGCTCCAGGCCAATCCTAATGTGGGCTGAACTGTGTCCCCTCTGTCCCCCAAAATTCAAAGTCCTAATCCCCAGTACCTCAGAACATCACTGTACTGGAGAATTACATCTTAAAAGATGTAATTAAGGTAAAATGAGGTCGTATGGGTGGGCCCACTGGCTAATCCTGACCACTGTCCTTGTAAGAAGAGATCAGGACCCAGACACACAGGTGGAAGATGATGTGACGACCTAGGGAGAAGCCATGCGCAAGCCAGGGAGAGGCGCCTCAGAAGAAAACAACGCTGCCAGTACCTTGATCTTGGACTTTCTGCCTCCAGCACTGTGAGAAAATAAATGCCTGTGGCTTAAGCTGCCCAGTCTGCTGGCTTGTTATGGCAGCTGGAGCGCAAGAACACTAGCATGGAGCTCAGGCCATGTGGGGACTCCCAGCTGGCCGTGGCTATTTTTCAGCACTGTTCTGCACAAGCTACACAACATGCAGGCCTGTGCACAACAGCACAAGGAGGGGAAACTGCATCAAAACCCCAAGTTTCTGGTTTGCACATTCATCCATTCACCAAGGACCCTACGGTACAGCTTAGGGTTAAGTTTAAAGTTTACTATAGGAGAAACTTGTTGTTATTTGAGGCAGATGCAGGAGTGAGTTTTTTTAGATCTGTACCCTGCACACTCCACAGCCCTCCCCCACTGGCTGGAGGTAGAGGGAGTTTTTTCCTGCCAGTGGGAGTAGTATGAGGAATCTTCCCAAACTAGGCAGGGCTGCAGCTAAACCACACGGACCTTTAGGCAAGCTAGGAAAAGGCAACTCCTCTGGGCCAACGCACCTCTGAGGGAGCATGGCTTGGCGTGAACTTGGCATCTTTGTGCAAATTAGAAAAAGGCATTCCTGCTTCGAGGCAGTACAGCTTTTCACCAAGACATGTCGGCTGGCAAGTGAAGCCAGACTGGAATTCAGCCCCACCTGCTCTCTTGGGCGGATGCCCTTGTGCAGTGCAACCTATACAACCATACATCTCTGCCCTTTAGAGTGTGCTTCTGTTTCCCAGCTCAGGTTGTCCATGTACACGGTTGGAGTCTCTTCACATGGGCATTAATCTTAACAGTATCAATGAAAAAAATTAGTTTATCAACAGTCAATATAAAAAAGAAATAGAGAATTTTATTCAAGCCAATCTGAGGATTCTAACCCAGGAGACAGTCTTTCAGAAAGCTCTGAGGATTGTTCTACCTGTTAGAGGCCAAAGCAAAATTCTGTAAGTTTTTGAGACAAAAGGTTATATATCAAAGTAATTACACTGACAGTTTACACAGTCCAGCAAGGCAAGTAGTGGGTCATTGTGATTCCTTACTGGAATAAGGAAGAAATGTTATCTCTTAAGGAGCTACCTTGCTGGCACCAGGAAGAAATTGCTTTTTTGAGGAACGTGGTAAGTAGGCATTCCTGTGTCTTCTAAGGGGATCTAGTTAATGTACAAAGCAGATGCACAATACACACTAAAGGGGAGGGGATCGTGGCTCAAACAGCAGAGAACATTTTATGTTACATTTTTCTTGTCCTGCCTTAAAATAATTTCATTTCATCTAGAGCACAGCTAAGGAACTGGCCCAGCACAAAATAAATCTGCTAGAAAAATTAAATATGAAAGACGCATTCTGAATACCTACCTGATCTTCTAGCTTCTTCTGCAGACGCTGAACTCTGTAAGTAAGCTGAATGTTGAGCACAAATCGTCGGATATTCTGGAATCTGCGTCTGGCCAGCCATGCTCGGGCATATTTCTGAAGGATCACAGCCTTGTGTTGCTCCAGCATCTTTAAAACAAGATTTTGTGAAATGCTAACTGGATCGCCACTTTTTCTCATCAACCCCTCCACTGTGGGAGATGCAACTACCAAAGTAATTCCACAGGGTAAAACACCAGTTTTCTGTCATCAATCCACAGAGCCCTACTACCTAGAATTCTGAAACAATAACCAAATCCCACGTGTAGCTGACAGTTTCAAACTGACATTCACATCCCAGAACCCCCACTCCCTGCAATGTCTTCATGCAGAAAAACTGTCACAACTACTGTTAGTGAAAAATAGCCTGAGTTCTGGGAAACCTGAGTCCCAGGAAAGCCGCACCTTTCGATACCTCCTCCTCGCCAGGAATCCTCGAGTGTAGGCCTGGATGGTGATGGTGGCCAC